TGTGCAGAAGACATTTGATGATCAAGTTATTTTCTGATATATCGTTGTAATTGCTAATGTTGTATTATTTTTGTTCTTTTGGCTTAGGCTCTGTTGTTTGTACAATCAGCGATATTTTGGAAAATAATGGTCGACACGACGAAGAGCTCTTTTGAAAGCACTGGCTTCTGGGAGTGAAAAACGCTTAGAAACTATCATGTTAGTTTGCCATCTATGCGCTTACGTTCTGCTGACGATGGACAGCGTTTACTCTTTGCGCTGCAAGATGTGTTCTGGAAACGACGATTTCGGCAATAGCATCACGACGGATAATTTTCAAATCGTCACCAACCTCGACCAGCCATACTGTGAGGATATGAAAGAGGTCGAATGTTTCAGTTACCAAAACGCGTGCCTCAAGGTTGTGATTCATATGCCGAGAAACGCTAAGTTCTGGCTAGGACTCGGCTGCACCGAGGCGAAGCATATCCGCATGGGCTGCTATCGACTCCAAACGAAGACCTACGAAATGGACATCAGCAAGGAGACAAGATTTTATGGCAAGCTCAATCCCGGCGTTGCTTTGCAGGACATCTGCCTCTGCAACACGGACTATTGCAACAGCGGAAAGCCTGCAATGCCGTATCGTCACCTCATCAAACTGTCTTTGCTATGCTCAGTAATTATTTATGCCATGAATCATCTCTGATCTAAAGGACGCGGTGTGTCAGACCTCAAAGCCACCTTGAACGCAATCAGTGTTATTTCATTTCCGGCCCTGATTGTTCATGAAGTGCATTCTTATGTGGCTGATACTGTCGCATAATAGAAAGTGAGTAGACCGTTTCTTATTTTGCCATACACATATGCAGATCAGTGATTCAGAACAAGAAAATCATCGTTACCTTGGAACCCTATGTCAAGACGGTTTCATCGCCAAGCTTCTAATTGACTTTCGCGTTTTTTTTTTTCAGGATCAGCATTCAAGTTTATTCCGATGTTGCGGCTATACGTTAATTTCAGTTTTATGCATATTCATTTTCTGTTATTCGACACATACTTTTTCGATAACTGTGTACATTTAAGTAAAATAGCACGCTCTAATTCTTCTCTTAGATTTGAGCCAGCATACTCCACATTTGAATGGAAAAAGTATTCCAGTGCATCTGGTGATTTAACAAAATTTGTTCCGTCGACTAACCAAAACTTACAATCAATGTATGTATCAACAACCTTTTGGGAAGAGACAAGTAATACAATTAAATTAATTGGATACTTTATTGGATTTCTTGCTGTTTGGTGATAATGATTTCATGTTGATAATCCTCTTCAACTCTTCAAATTTAACTCAGGAAAACATCTCTGATTTGTGCAATAACGTAATATTTCGATACTACGAGAGTTCAGGAGCAGTGGTCGAGGAGGAGAAGCCGCTGTTCCTGAGCTCACCGAAGTAAACGTTGACTTTCATTTGAATTGCGAGTCGCACAGAGTGAAAGTCAAACGAATGCTGTATTCATGACGCCTGTTACAAGCGTGGACATTGGCCAAAAACACTTTCTGTAATCGAAGGAAATGGGAAGCACAAAAATTGACTTCCACTCCCTTGTGACTACAGCACGCGATTGGCGGATGACCGATAGACTTCAGCTTCGAGGATTGGTACCGAAGGGGCTGCAAAAGATGCTCAATTGGTCGTCTGTTGAAATGGGACAACGAGCTACAAGAGAGATATGCAAGCATGTGGCGGCAGATCACGGGATACAGACGAGTGTCGGTAGAGAGACATGCAAATGATTATATCCGCTAATAACGAAGGAGAATCGATCGACGTCAACTTTGCAAAATATGAATAATCCATTACATTTCCGATTCCGGATCAGTTAATAAAATTTGATGCTCTGCTCGTTTGTGGTTGAGGGCGTTCAACCTTGACCGGCAGCGCGTTTGTAGTTGACAAAAAGTATAACTGCATGTTCTGACGTAGTTACCAAATGTGACAGCTTTTCGGTTCAGCGTGAAAACTTTTTCTTTTCAACTACTAATGCCGGATTTGCATGACGAAAGCCGTAAAGTAATTTACTTTACACCAGTAATGCGGTAGCATAAGACGGACGGCAGCCACTAAAACTGGACTGAGGTTTGCGGCAGCAATACCCATGTGACAGTAAAGGACAATCTGCGACCTGGCAGCTTTTGCAGAAATGTCGAAAACCGAGATGACGAAATCTCCGCTGAACGGGTATTGAACTTTATATGGGAGAAGGCACAGTAAATAATTGAAGAGAAAATGGACATGTGACATCGTATGCAACAGAGGTCTCGTCTTTACGCTTCAGTGGGTGGTTGGCTCTGAAAAATTAGACTGCACAGAAACTGACAAACTGAAAGAACGGCAAGAAACGCACAGACTGCTTCAAGTATAACTTTATGAAATGAATGAGAGAAATTGGCTCATAACGCGTCTGAAATCGAGCAAAAAGGAATTCGTTTGGCATTGTCATGTGAGTCAAAATTACATGTTACATGACAGGCTGAATCACAGTAGTCAACGGCTATATAGTAATCATTAGCAGTCTTTATGGACTTACTGCTGGATGACAGCAGCAACAAGATCGAGTCACAAATTCAAGTCCCCTGTTGCTCTTGTTTTCGTTGCTCCAAAGCATTTCATCCCTCAACCCTGCCATCAGTCTGGAGGTCTTTCCTCGGGCTGTCTGTTGTATCACGCAAATCAGTTCCCTGGTTCAATGGTCAGTTTGCCTGCAAGGTGTTCTGTCAGTTGACATTCCTTCCAATGACATCGCACCGACTGTGTGCTTTTTCCCATTCATTCATCTTGCTGCTTCACCTTCATATTCACCACATATGCTTGCTGTTTTGCACAGTTTGCGTTGCGCAGCTTGCGAACAAGTTTCACTCAAATGGTCCATATTTCGCCTGCACTGGTAAGTGCTAGGAACATAGGGGACCTCAAGAGAATAAAAACATTTTTAATCTTACAATACAGTTTTTAATCTTTCGTTGTTCTCGCGAAATCGGCTATCCGTTGCACGGATGACCTGATCCTAGCAGAGGTAGTTTAGAGGCATCCTTTCAGTCATTAGTCCATTAACTTCACAGGTCACGGAGTCACGTGGTTGCTAAGCATGACTTGGTCGCCTTTAGGCTTATTTCCAGTCCTGCTTTGACCTTGACATCACTCAAAAATTTAATTTTGATCTGAAGTTTCTCTGAGCATTTAAACAACGTTGGTGAATCGGAGGCTGCATAAATGTGCCTATTTAGCCTCATCCCTCATTTACTCACTGCAGTATATGGAAGACTTCCTTTACGGCTGCAGTGAATTACTTCTGTGATATTGTATCATCATGTCAGACACCTTTATCATTACTGAATTCGTCTTTATTTCCAAAAACTCTATACTAGCCCTTGCACTTTCATAGACCGTGAAGATGAGGTTTCTGTCTATCTTTCTTGACTCCCTTATCTACTGAGGAACTCAGTAGAGACCGAGTACAGGCAAAATCGAAAATCTTCTCGAAATTCGCGAATCTATCATCGAGAAGAAGCAGGTATGCTCTGCTTGCCTGAATCAGTTATTGTACCATCTCAAGATGATCATTTTAATAGATTCACTTCTGAATTCTTGCTCCTTTGGCTTCAGGAGTTCAGTTATACTTCACGCTCGTCAGTAACTTCCACTACATTTTGTGGATTAAAACATTACGATTTAGTACATTATGTCTTAGTAGAATGACAAGAATCATAGATGCCGTTGCCCAATCGTCTGAAACTTTGAGTTCCTTCAAGCAGTGTGAAAACAAACGTGCTATAATATTTCTCATTACTTCACCAAATTATAGTACATCTTAATGCTGGCTTCGACATAAGCGTTTCTTCTCTGTGTTTGCATTATTACATCACGTGATTCTTCTGACAAGATATCTGGAATTTCACCCATTTCATTTGCTTCCTAGGTAATCGCTGCGGATTTCATCGTGCACAGTGTTCTCTAGAAATTTTCACCTCTGTTAAACGTCTCTTGCCTGCCGTTGATTACAGAACCGGCTTTAGATTAGACATTTAAAAGTGTTGCATGATGACAGCCAGTGTCTGATTTTCATACTTAGATTGTTTGCAATAGTTTCTTTTGTCATTCTGCAGTTGAACGACTTGATATTTTCCTTCACATGTTTCTTTAACGACGTCGGTGTTCGACCGTCGACAAATGATCATCTGTCACTTTCATTTGCATAGGATTGTTCATATGTTTTATTGTGAAGGACGTCTTTGTCTTTGATCGGTAGAAACTGCAATAGAACGAGCCTGCCGATATCTCCTTTTCCATATCGTCAAACATGCCATTTGCTGTCAATTTGTGAATAAATGGGCTGACGTATTTTACACCATAATTTCTATTTCTGATACCAGTTGAATCAATCAACGCTTATATGTTCCATCTGCAACCATCGTGTCATAATTAATAGTTAATTATTGAAGCAGGGCAGCTGCATATCCAATCTTGAGCAGTTAGAGCAATTTCAAGACAAATCTGCGTTTTCAGTTTGATTTATTCCCAGAATTCGTTCGCAAGTACTACTTGAGCCGTTTTTTAACATGCCTCGAATTTGGTGCATCTATTGCGGTTTGCGCAAGCATGGTAAGCTCAGCCAATGGCATACCTGTTAAGCTATTTCTTATAATTGTTCAATTCAATTTAATTTTCCAGATTTGCGAATCAATCCAAACGTGGAAACTCTGGATTACTTGCAAAACACAATTACATATATATGACATAATATAACGTTGACATAACACAGTATAGTTACAGCTTCATGACTAATAATGAAAGACAGAAGTGACGTCCTTCTACAAGTCTGACTCAATTTCATCAACAGATTCAAGTATTCAGTGGAGTTCACATTATTGGGAGGGGGAAGGTTGCTGCGATCAAATACCAGACAAGGCTCTACCATTGCAGCAATTTGCATTAGTTAGTTAGTTAGAGATTGCTGCTAAAGTGATTGCAAAGAGTTTACTCATTTTGAGTTTGGAGTACCTGAGAGTATGTGCTAAGCGTGCTTCTTGTCCATAGCTTATCAAAGAGCGCTGGGGTGTCTCCAAGGATTGAAACGACAATAGAAGCATAAGTTCTGCAAATGTAAACTGCTTCATATTCCCTTCGCCTTGAATTTAAGCAAAGGTGATTCTTAATTTACACACAACTGCAATTTGTTGCAATTGAATGATTCGTTTCAAAACGATACTGGCTTATGAACGGACTAAATGCGTCAAATGTGCTCTAAGGATCAAACTGTCAATCTTTAATTTGACCAGTTATTAGTGCTTTAGCAATTATTTAGTTACTGCCTATTTACAGTATCGTTTAAACATAGAAGTACATCCTCTCTTTGAAGAAATGCTGCGGGACTTGGTAAAGACGGAACACTAAATTTTAAGAGACTTTCCGTTGTGAGACGCTTTTTCTGTCAAGAATTTTTAACCACGATATCTGTGTATGTGATGAGGATGTTTAAACAAGGATCATTGCTTCGTTCGAAGCACAAGGAAGACGACTCACGGCAGATCCCTGATAACGTGGCTTGAATATATGGAAGATGTGCTACTGTCGCGGAATCCATATCCCTTAGTTTTTTCCGTTTTGCAACATGGACTATCGTGAAAGTTTCCTGGAACAGCTGATTCTGGGAATCAAAGAGGATAGCGGACTTTTAAAGCGACGGGTTTCACAAGGGTGACATAAAACTACCACACATTAGAATCCATCCAAAGCTTAATCACACCCTTGTTGTGAGATCAACAACGTGGCAAATTCATCCCAAGAGGCGGTTTTGGCCATCAAAAGGAATGGTGGATTTTCAAAATGAAAAAATGCCCACAGGCGCAGAGTTTGCCCTGCTGACCTCTTCGTTTTCAGTCACATAGAATGCAGAGTCGTTGTCCCCGTTTCCTCTCTCTACTACGAACGTTGAATAGTGACTCACGATTGAAGTGACAGTGCAAAATGTGTCGTAAGTCAGACCAGCAATTGAACTTGGTTGCGCTGACTCTGAGCAATCTTCTTTTTCAGGCCTAATTCGAGGTCACCGACCTCTCGATCGAAGCCACCTTGACTTCGCGTGCGTTTTTCACGTTGCCACATGAGTCACAACCTGCTTTAGAGGATCATTGAACTTCGAGCGCGGTTATATGTCATCACCACTGTGGTACTCGAGTTCTCGGTCCAAGTGAAAACTATTATTTTCACGTCAGATGCATGCCTCTGCAGTCCTGCTTTTGTTAGTCGGTTTGACAGGTATGAAACATTAACATTTATCCCTCGTAGCCTGAAGTGAAATATGATCGCTTTTGTGTTGCTAATTTATGCTTAAGCCAGTTTTCTAACAGTTACTCTGTGCCGCCAGCTCCGCAGGAGTTCGAATAATGAAAAAGGCCGTTTTCGTGTATAGCTTAAGAAAAATGTCTCACCCGTAGCCATTGGGATGTCAGTTCCTAACACTGTCATGATGTGCATCATTTGGGACATATTTTTTTAAAGGAGTGTACCCTCAAGGCTGTGAACTCTGTTACAGTATCATAAACCATAAGTGTTTTATTTTAAATGCAATGTCGACCGCTACATAGCAAGTATAACGTGTAGCCTTCTACCTCCTTTTAGCCAGTGTCGAACCATTTATCCACC